GGGGGGCTGGTCAGGGTGTGAGGGCCTAGGGGGGCTGGTCAGTGTTTGAGGGCCTGGGGGGGCTGGTCAGTGTTTGAGGGCCTGGGGGCTGGTCAGTGTGTCAGGGCTGGTCAGTGTGTCAGGGCCAGGGGGCTCCACAGGTGTGAGCACTGATTGCTTTTCTGGCTCATTTCTTCGCTGGGGCTGCTGCACTGAGCTCAGGGAGCCGTGCAGAGCCAGAGCCTGCTCCTGCTTGCAATCTCTGGCATTAAAAGCAGGCAACTTCTCCTGGCTGTGCCCGGTGTGCGTGGAGGCTGCAGGTTCTCTGGTAAAGCTGGCGGGAGGGCTGTGGTGGGGCAGCTGCCCTCGACTTGCCATGGAAGCCTCAGGGGAGTTGGTTGGTCTCAAAACAGATTTTATGTCAGCTTGTCTTCTTTGCTTGAAGTGTTTCCTGGGTATTTTCTCGTGGTGGCTTGTTTGGATTGGAGCTGACAAAAAAAATGTCCTGGGAAGTCAAGTGCTTCAAACTCCTGAAGTGGCTGCAGAGAAGTTTAAGTATCTTTCAGGCACTGCTTCATTGTCAGTAGCTCTTGTGTGAATTTACTGCAGTTTGTCCACTTGTAAGCTGTGAGAAATGAATAGCACACCTGATGATGGGGGTTGGGGGATTTTGTTGGTTCTGACCTAAATACAATTATAATCCAAACTGGGTTGGTACCTACAAGTGATTTCTACCTCAGATGTTTTTGGGCTGGTGCTGTTTCCCACTAGGGTGGATCTGGCTATTTTTCCTCCAAAAACACAGTGAGACTTGACTTCAGCTTTTAGGTGACAGGGGGGCAATCTGTGGAATTTGTGGACCTTGCTGAAGTTTTTCCATGAATGGCAGACCCTCCAGGGGAAACAGGAATGCTGGGAGGTATTGAGCTGTCTGGCCTGTAAAACTACTGGCTTGGTGACTTAAGTGTTGTATAACTACACAGAAACCAGAACTGTTTGCAAAGGTGGTTGGTTTGTAGACCAGCTCTACTACTTGGCATGGGGTTTATCTGTGGAGCCTGCAAGCTGTTCTGATTCAACTGTGGATAGCTTTCCTGGTTCTGCAGCTTGCAGGCAGGCACACAGAGATGAAACTGACAAGCTGAGCCTGGAAGAGGGGAGAATGGAAACAGCCTCAGTTGTGAAAGTGTGAACCTAAATATCAAGTTGAACTGGACAGATCAGGAGCCTCAGCAGTCAGTAATAAGCTCACACTTTTAGGGACAGGAAACTTTGCTGCAGGAATAGTGTTCCTTGTTTACATATTAATATAGCTTATGCCATTTGAATCAGACTTCTGGTTGCTGAAGGCATTTTTGCTTTTAAGTAACTTCAAGCCAGGCTTGTTGCTTTAGAAGTTGAAATGATCAGCTGTCTAGACAACAGTGAACTACACCTTGGTTCTTTGTGCAGGCTTTCTTCTTGTCACTAGAAATACAGGGTTATGGAGCAGTCGGATCAAGTTGTGCCCTATTGTGCTGATTGCCCATATGCATAGTGCTCTTGGGTAAAATATTAATGTTTCAAAAATTACTTTCATTGGATCTGCAGAGCACAACAGAGCAGTGGAAGACTACTGCAAATAGCTGTTGTTAAGATGGGTTGGAACTTACGTGGTTAACTGTTAGTCCTGGGTAGCACAGGTTGCACTGAGATGATGTACTTGAGGGCTAGCAGCAGGGGGGTGGCTTCTTCAGAGAACCAGTGTAGTACCAGCTTGCTCTAAAACCATGCTCTGGAGCAGCTGTGGAGCTTGTGGCCCTTAGTGGCTGGCTTTAGCTTGTTCTCCCCAGTGAAAGGAAGATGATTGCCCTTGCTTAAATCCAAAGGCTACTAAGTCACCAGCATCTTAAACCACACTCTTCTAGAGGTTTGTCTTAATTGAGATAATGAGGGGCAGCAGTAAGCTGCAGAACAAATAACCTGACTCTTGCGGGCTGTCTTGCTTTCACTGCTTTGGTGTGCTTGGCATCTCTTGCAAAGTAGGAGAACTGGAAATGAACTATCTGCTGCTGAAGACAGCACTGCAGGTTATTTGGGAGAAACAAGTATGCTAACTGGGATAGCAGGCTGTCTTGCCTCTGCAGGTGCCCAGGACTACCTAGTGAGTTATAATGCCTTTCATCACTGATGCAAATAGAGAGTTCAGAGTGATGGAGGCTGTTAGCGTTGCATCTGAGCCAATGTAAAACTAGTGGATGGCTTGACTCTGTGAACTCCATGTCCTTTAGAGCTCTTTGGTTGAGCCTGTATGGTTTCACTCCAGTATCTTGTGCTGTGAAATGCTGCAGTCCTTCAACTCTGGTCTTCACCTCTGATGGCTCTCACCTCATCTGCTTGTGCTGCTTTTGCTCTGCATTGCACAGGACTTGATGATGGTAGTGTTGCTCTTAATGAGCTTCTAAGCTTGGTGCCTTTGTGCTGGGTGTGAAATGCCCAGCTGCATGCTGACTTGCATTCTGTGCTTCCTGGTGGCAGGTTCTCCTGCACTGACTATTCCCTCACCCCTCACTAAATTCTGTCATTCAGTTTTCAGAATCTAGCTTTTTTTGGTTGCTAGACTGAATCATCTTGTCCTTTTTTCAGTTGAACCTGTGGTCAAACCCAAACCAACAAAAAGGGGGGGTGAGAAGAATGCCGGCAAGTCAAGAAAGAAGAAGAACAAAGGAAAGAACAAAAAGAAAGGGACACCCTGTGAAATGGAATACAAAAACTTTTGCATCCATGGTGAATGCATATACCGAGAACATCTGCGGATGGTGACCTGCAAGTAAGTCACTTGTGCCTTGCGAGTTAGGTGTGATTGGTGTGAGCTGGTGGTACATGAGGGCTCAGAGGAAAAAAATCAGTGTCAAGTTGGCATAGGTCTGTCTTCTGTTGTATTTTGACTTGAGAAGCTTTCTGCCATGTAAATGAAGTGATGATGGAATCTGAGATGCATAACAAGCCACTGAACTCATCAGTTGGTCATAAACTCAAACCAAAAGAATGAAAAGGTGTGTCTGCCTGGGACATCACGCCCAAACTAATCTCGACTTGTTGAAATGCTGACAAACCTTGTGCTAGAGCAGTGACTGCATTTCATGAACACGTTGTAAAGGCAGCATCTTGAGATTCATGGGAAACTCTGAAGATGTCTAAGGGGCAGGTTTGTGTGTGGGTGTCCTTGGCTCCAGACACCAGCAGAGCTGATAAGAACTTGTGTTAATATTTACTTGCAGGTGTCATCAGGATTTTTTTGGTGAGCGCTGTGGTGAACAGTTCATGAAGACTCAAAGGAAGAATGATGTAGCAGACTACTCAAAGACTGTTTTGGTGGTGGTAGCTGTCCTGCTGTCAAGCATCAGCTTCATTACTGTAATTATCATTGTGATAGTGCAGTAAGTATTATACTTTTTGGTGTCTGTCTAGCTTAAGCATGAGTGGGGCTTGTGTCCAGTATTCCCAAAACGGGTCTGGCTCACCTGAGTGAGCTGTGTGGAAGACATCCAGAAGGCCTTTGTTTCTTATCCCAGCTTGGATATATCTTGAGGGTACAAGCAGGGTCTGAGAAGTTCAAATGTGACTAAGATTGCTTGTCCTCTCTTGCCTTTGAATGTGGGCAGCCTGTGACCCTTACATTATAAAACAAGAGCCTTTCTGCTCTTGCTACAACCACGATAGTTACAGTGGTGCAGAATATCTACAGGGAGTAGAGGAGCATCAATGTTGACACAGCAGTGCCTTAATCCTTGTGGAGGAGCCCTCAAGCACCAATATGACAGCCTAATGTACAGCTGTTATCCAACAGCTGAGTGCACAGCCAGAGGGAAGGAAATGGGACTCAGACTCTTGTTTGTTAATGGAGGTTACTGGGCTTAAATATATTGGGCTGAGAACCTGAGGGAATAAGCACCTTCAGTCCCAAGTACTGTGCTGTTTGCTGTTAAGGTTCATTCCAGCCCAATGAACTGCAGATAGTTCAGTGTGGTGGGTGGTCAGAATCTAGGGTCCTGTTGTGAATAAAAGTGCTTTTCTGGGTCCATGTGTCAGACCTTGTATCAAGCTCTCTTGTACCTGCTAACAAGCACCAGCTTATTCTTACTTCTTAGTCCCTTGCCAGTGTGTTCACCTGAAGTTTGTGCTGAGGTTAGATGGCCAGCACAGGGAGCCAGGGTTTCCTGGGTGTTGGAGCTATCCTGATTTGACACTGCAGCTCCACCACAGCAGGGCTTGGTATATTGTAGGTGAAACTCAAAAATTCAGTCTAATTTTAGATATTGATCATCAACTGAATTGCGTACATGCTGTACCATTTCCTGCAATTCAGGAAGCAAGGTGTGCATTTCTCATGTCACTGTTGCTTCATATTTAGGTCTGAAGTTGAGGAATGCTGGGATGAACACTTGTTCTTTCAACACTGCCTCATTCCTCACTGCTACGAGAGATACACAGCTCTGTAGTTCTGTAAGAGCAAATGATTATTGTGAGTTTTTGGAGTGAACCATGGAATAGGTTTGCATTTGTTTCATGCTCTGAACTCACAGACTTGAAGCATGAGGTTCAATAATCTGTACCTTCATCCAGAGAAGCTAGGTGGCCTATTTGGAACAGTTACTAGAAAAGACTAGGAGAAAAGAAATAAGCAGTGTGCTTATGATGTGGTCAACAGTCACATCAAGGTGACAGGGACTGTACTTGGAAGTCCACAGTGCTCTGCGGTGGGGAGGAGGGTAGCTGTCTGGTCTCTGCAGCTGTTTGCTAAAGCAACCAGAAAATCTATCCCATAGAAAGGCTCCTGGTGCTTTGCTCAGTTCCAGCAATAAACCTTCCTCACCTTGCTACCCATTCAGGCTTAGGCCAAGGAGTTCTGGTGCTGTAAGGCAAAGCTGTCAGTGCCTAACTCGAGGGCTTCTTGATATTGTCAGATAATGCTTGGTGCCCAGTGTTTAAAAACAGTCCAGCCTGAAACTTCCTGGTGGTAAGGAGCTGCTTGACAATTTGAAGGACATGAGTGTAAATGCTGAAGAGGATGTGGGGGTTGGTAACAACAGAATGTATGTCAGGATTCAAAATTATCTCTAATGTGCTGTAATTCCACAGGGTCAGGAAAAAGTGTCCTCAGTATGATGAGAAAGAAGAAAGGAAAAAACTTCGACAAGAAAACAGAAATGGCCATGTTGGTGTGTAGATGAGGAGAAAGCAGGTATGAAAGCTGGCTTGAAATGCCTTTGAGTCCTTCCAGGCTTGAGCTAACATGTGTGCTTTGCAAGGCTAGTGTTTGCTTCTAACACTTGAAGTGCCTTAAAACGTGTAGGTTACATGTGAATGTTGGCTTGGTTTTCTTGTTTCCTGAAACTGCCTCAGTTGTGTGAGTTCTTCAGCAGTGCTGTGGGCTGCTGTCTTAAAGGAAAAGTGAGGATAGGAAGCTGTACTGTGGTAAGTGGAGCTGTGAAGAAAGAGTTAGTGCAAGAAGCCATAGTAGGCTTCCATCATGGATGATGATGCAGCAGCCAAGTGGATCATCACCTCTCATAAGAGAAGTACTGCCCATGTTCATGTCTTCTCTGCAAGGCATCAGGATGGTTTTGGTGCTTTGAGGCTGTAGACCAAGACTAAACTGCCAGTTTTGTGAGCACCATAGATAGCCTCTCAGTCAAGTTTCATACTATCATAGCAACTGAGTGCTAAAGCTCATGGCCCAGGTGGATCACTTCTGGGAGAAATCTAATGGATTTTAATGAGCAAGCAAGTTGGTCTCTTCAGAGCAAAGGTGTACCTAACAGCAGACTCCAGGACCCTACAACAGGAATTGTACTACCAGCTGAAGGAGGAAGCTATAAAGGATAGTCCTGACAAGTTTGGGCAGAACTCAGAAGTTTTGCTTTGCTACATGTCAGCTACTGACCTTGTCCAAAGTTTATCCAATGATAAATGGAATGTTTTGTTCAAAGCATACTTGAGGCTGAAGAGTATCTAGCACAGTGTCCTCAGGTGTGTGCATATGCTTAAGCTGCCAGATTCAGGTGCAGTTTGATGCAGTTCTAGCAGAGTGCAGGTGTCTTGGGTGGTGATTAATGTGCCTGGTCTACCCCTTACAGAACAATTCTCATGTGGCCACTGCCAAGCTGCAGGGTACCTCTGGCCATCTAACACATCCACCTGGACACTGTGGGCTGGAGCTGTTGCCACTGAGCCCTGATTCATCAAGACAGAGGCTGCTGCAAGGAGAAGTCAACGTGCCACTTGCTGCTGAATTGCATGCTGGGGAGGACAGTTACCGCTACATCTTGGCACAAGGGGTAGAGGACCTGCTATCAAGACCTGCTAGAGACTACTGCTACTGAGCCCTCTCTTCTGTCAGTGCTGGAGCTCCAGTCTCTGCTCTTGTGTGGATGGACTTTCTTCTGTTAGCAAGTCTCCTTTGGCAACTGTAACCCTAAGGGAGAGAGCTTTTTGTGGCTTTCAGGAATGGATGGAGGGGTGAAGTTCACTCTCCTCTCCCAAAGTTAAGAAGGGAAGAGCTCTGGATGGCTTCTCTCCCTAGACCTCAGTGGATGAAAAACCTAATTCTGCTGTCACTGTGCTCCCTGTTGATAGCAGCTTCAAAGAACTTCATCTCTAGTTCTGACTTGCAGGGCATTGGTGACAGATCTTGGTCAGCCACACCTGGGTTCTGTTACTGTATGCGTGGAAGGTAATCCCTCTGAGTTCAGTAAAACTCACTTGTGTGAGTGGAGCTATCCATTTGTGTGTGTGCTAGCTCAAGTTAAAATTAGTCTCCTCAGGATGCTGAGACAGTAATGCAAGATCTGAAGGAGAAGATCCATGCTCAAACAAGCTGATAAACCTGGAACCATCTGTTATAAACAAATCTACTTCTGTTACCCAGATGCCTGATACTGCTTTAAAGCAGTGCTTAAAGTATCAAATGCTTCACATCAGATCTGGTCAGATGAACCTGACCAAGGACCTGTTGCTTTGAAGAATCAAGTTTATGCACTGACACTCTGCAAGCAGTGGTCTCCTGTGCTCTGCCTTCTGGTGTGAAGAACCTGACTTACCTCAAAGTTTGCTGACCCCAGTGTCCTTGGTTTCTTGAACTGTCCATGCAGTCTTGAGCACGGAGTATTATTTGAGTTCAGTTTCTTCTTGGAAGAGTGAATGTATTCTGTATAAACAGAGCAGAATTCTTCTGGTAGCAGAGAAAAACCATTAATTGTCAAGTTATATCTGTAAATGTGTAAATATTTATTACTGTATTTAATATTTAATGTTTCCATAACAAACTTATTTATTTTATAATTAAACTTTTTACATAACCTCATCGTGGTAAGATTTTTTCTTGCTCTTGGGAATACATATAAACACTTGAAATTAGAGCTTGGTTTCTTCTCAAAGCAGGAATTTCAACATGTAAGAGCACAAAGCAAAGCTGTGAAGAGCTATAGCCATCTGTGAAGTATGAGCTTGATGCTCTCCTGAGAGTACAATTTGTAAACAAAATATGCAAGTACCTGTTTCAGTAGGAAGTCCATTTAATTCAACTACAAAAGAATCTTGGTTACTGGATGAGGCAGGTGCTAAGTAAGCCACCTCATTGGAAGCAGAATCTCAGTCTGAAGTTTCAGCAAATGACTAGCCCTTTGCACTGGACTCAAGCTGGGAATACTGGAGAGGGGAGAGCCTTTCATCTCTGTGTGGTCACAGAATTTGGACAGTGGCTTTAAACTCAGTCTGAAATAAATGAGGAAAAGCACAACAGCCTCAGGCCAGTGACTCCCTAAACAGAAAGGGAGCCTTGGCCTCCACAGTCTACCTTGAATTTCTTTTCTTCCCCAGGTAGTTATTAGTCCAGCTGTATGCTGGTGTTTCCGTGAAGCACTTCCAGCAGTGAGCTGGGGTTTAAGTCTAGAGTTGCCTAAGAAAATGAGTGTCAGGGGGGTGAGTTTGGCTTTAAAGCTGCAGTTATGATGATTGAGAGTCTTGTTTTGAGGCTCTTTTCTCAAAAGCATCTTCAAGAGGTGTTGCTGGCTGTGGTTCAGGTTGCAGCAGGGAAGAAAATAAAAACAACACAAAAAAAAAAAGACAACCAATTTCAGTCAGGCCCAATTTGTGTACCCAATTGTATGAGGAAAGTGTAGTCCTGTCCAGAGTAGCTAAGATGTATTTGCCTTGGCTTCCTGACTTAGCCAAGAAGTTCTCAGACTTGGACTCTGCCTGTATGGTTTGTAGCTGAGGTACAGGTAAATGTATTGCAACACCTCTTGGGAAGATTGCAAGACTTCATTCCAGGGAACTTGTTTCATTACCAAAGTAAACAGTACTTCTCCAAGTGGCTTTTCCACAGACATTTGCTATTAGAGCTCTGGCAAGAAAAGCTGTTTCTGTAAGTCATGCCAAGTTTTTTGCTTTGGAGTAAACAAGCTCAATCTCAGTGGTAACAGAGCCATAGTCTAGTGAGACTCTGAATGGAATTATAACCCCCCTTTGAAAGCCATGAAACTCTTCTATCTCTAGTCTTTCTGGAGTAATTGGTTTTTCAGCTTGATAAACTAAGCCAATGCTGGCACAGGAAACTGAGCTGTTTTCCTTCTCCCTGCTTAAAGCCCAACAAGAATGAAGCTTCTGGTGTAGCTTGTGAGATCTATCTGTTGTGCATTTTTGATACACTGATTACTGAGTGGGCTGGATGGTATTTTCTAAAAGTAGGCAGCTAGGAACTGGAGAGGCCCAACTGAGCTATTTTGGGGAGGCTGGACTCTGAAAATTCAAGTGTCATCTGGAGTTATCCTGGCTTGAACAATAATCAAGAAGGAAAATAATTGCTGAGTCTCCTTAGCTGATAGTTTGGAAATAGTGGAGGGCAGGCTTCAGAGAAGACTTGTTCCTCTGGAAGTATTTGGGTTACAGCCAGATTTTTTAAGAGGTAGGGCAGCCAGCACCTCACTTGCTATAGGTCAGTCACATCCAACATTGCTGTAGTGCTTGCTAGTGAGCAGGAATACTTGTTTTTGTCAAAGTTATGACCCTGGCTAATAACAGCTTGCTGCCAGCTTTCTAGTGTAAATTTGATACACAAGCACATCAGGACCTGTGGTGTCCAGTGGGCTGGTTGCTTAAAAAACCCAACTGATGGTTGGAACTATATATCTGGAATTCTCTTGCTGATGATCAATCAAGGATGCTGTGCTTGTGTGACAAGTAAATCTGATCTGCTGCAGGGCAAGGCCAAAGATAATTTTTATTGTTGATTGTGCACAGCCCAGTCTACTCTTCAGGGTATACACATCATTTGCCTTTTAACCTGCTCCCCCTCACCATGGTGCTACCTTAGCTCCACTAAGCATGCCTGGGTTTCTACTCCCACAGCTTATTAGTAAGTTATGCCTCCAGATTTTTCTTGACCTTCCAGTGACAATGTTTCTTTGACAGGAGAGCTTCTGTGTCTTGTCACTTGTGGTTGCCTCAGCTGTGACCTGAAAGAGTAGCCTGATGTTCTTGCACAAGTTTCTACAGACACTGCTGATTTTGCAAGGCATTATGATACTCAGTTCCATATCCAGGTATTCTGGTAATGTGAAGGTCATGGCTGCTTGCATAATTCCATCCTCTTTCCTGAATGTTTTGTTCTCCATGTTTATTGTGTTTTGTTCTTCATTATTATTGTATTTTGTAGAAAAACAATAGCTCCTTATTGGTTTTTTTTTTCTTTCTTGTGTATTGATGGAGCTTTAGAGTGTTCTGCAGTTGTTGATGGCCAGAGTAGCTTCCTTCAGTAAACTACCTGAATAAACCTACCTGAAAGCAGGGTTGTTAACTGGGACAAGTGCTTGACTCTTCTGGCAGAGGTTTTCTGGAAGCACCAAGAGTGTGTCTTGCTTCAGTGAACAATCACAACAATCAGCAGCAATCACTTGGCTCTTGAGATGTTACCTCTGATAGGAAGCGATGGCTTTGCATTCTTGGTGACAGCTGGATGCAGTGAGTGAGCATGCTGGAGGAGTCAGTGTTGGAGTCTTCATGTCAGTGGACAGAAGGGTCAGACAACCTTTAATAAGCAAACCTTGATTCCTTCTCATCTTGTGAACAAAGCTGTACATACCTATCGTTCCTCTGCTGGTTACACCTTCCCTGAGCGAGTCAGGTCTGGCTTTGCCTATGGCTCCTGAGTGTACTCAGTTCAGACAC